ACTGGTCATCCTCCTCTCCCCGCTCTGGCAATCATCTCTGGGTGATCATCCCTGGCTCACCCTGGCACAGTCTTCCCTATGTCTCCACATCTAACCTGATTTTCTCTAAACCTTTGACTAAACCTTCATGGGATTCTTCTATTCTCTTTTCTCCTGACCTGTCATTCAGGCCCCAGCTTTCACTTCCCTTTGCTAGCCAGCTCAGCTGCTCCACGCTGCTTCCCAGCTCCTTGGCTGCAGTGCTGGATCTGAGATTTGCTGTGAGTCCACCCTGCTCCTGTTTGCCCTGTAAGTGCCCAGCCCAGGGTGTCCCCACTGCCACCAGCTGCCAGAAGCTCAGCACCATCACCGCTGTGCTCCAGCATCCCCCTGGCCAATGCCACTGTGCTCTCTCCCCACCCAGGGTACCTGCGCAAAGTACTGAGGAACCACACCACGCACACGTGTGATGGGGAGCAGCTCCTCATCGTCTGCCCTCACAGGACCACCATCAGCATCCTCGGAGCCTTCTACGGGCGTCGCGTGCCCAGCCCCAACCTCTGCCCCAGCCCGGGCAATGACTCCCAGGAGAGCACTGAATGCGTGTCCACCACAGCCCACCTGGTAAGGGCAGGGGCTCGGGGACCGGGACCCATCCAGCTCCTTCCCTGGGTCACTGGGCTGCCTGCTTTGGCTGGGCAGCTGTACCGCAAGGGAGGCTGCTACCATCGGCATCGTGATTCACCCGTGGGATCCTTTCCTGGGGGGGTTTGGGGAGGTGAGGGTGGGTAAGGCCTTCTGCAGTGGGTCGCTGGGCAGGCAGGAGGCGCTGCTCTGTCCTCAGCTGTGATGCTCGAGTAGTCCCGCAGGATGCAGCAGGATGCAGCAGGATGCAGCAGGATGCAGCAGGATGCAGCAGGATGCAGCCCTGGCGGCTGGGCTGGGTCCTGGCAGTTGCGGGGCAGGCTTGGGGTGCGGGACAGGCCCAAGAGGGGTCAGCACAGAGCCCAGGAGAATCACTTGTCCTTCTGGCAGCCCCCTGGAAGCAGGTTCATGAAGGAGGCCCAAAGGAGAGCCTGTGGGTGGCAGGAGCTGGCACAGGAAGGAAAGACAGGCAGGACACAGGGAGAGGGCAGCAGGGGTCCCTCGATGGGGACATCGTGTCATGTGCTGCTTTTCTATTGGGGTTCCAGCTCCTTGCTAGAGGTGGGACCTGCAAAACTGCAGATGCATGCAGGTGCCTGTGGGGAAGGGGAACGCGGAGTTTGAGAAGAGGAACAAGAGCTGAGGGGCCGGTTCCCTGCTCTAGGAGCTCATGAGGCTTTGCTGCCCTGTCCTGCTCCAGCTGCTGATCCCCTCCTGGCATCCTGCGTGTCCCAGGAGCTCTGCAAGGGCCGAGCTGGACCATGCTGGCCCCACAAATCACGCTGCACGGTCTCCCAAGCTTATGTGTCAAGCACAGGATGGGGGATGTGACCCAGCAGAGAGACAGACAGGGGCGCCCTCGCCGCGGGTGGTGGGATCCCAGCTGCAGGGCAATCCTCTTCCCAGGGGGATGCTGGGGGCTGGGATAACGGCCCTGCGGGCTGCCCGAGCCCAGAGCCATGGGGTGGGCACCCAGTGCCTGTTGGCTGCACGTGTGCTTTACACAGAGCCGCATCTGGGTGCAGGGGTGTTGCACAGGGCTGTGTGACGGCGCACACCGACTGTGCTGGCAGAAAGCTCTGTGTGGGTGCAGGGGGCTGGTTCAGGAGCCAACATGAGGCGCAGGGGGGGTGCGGCTTAGGATGGAGCAGCCATGGGGCACCTCTGCGAGAGGAGGTGTCTGAGCCTGGTGGTGGCACCGAGGCGGTGAGCGCAACTCTGGACTCCTCACCCACCTCCTTGTGTGTTCCACTTTGCCCTCCAGAAGCTGCTGGCTGAGTGTCAGGACCAGCAGTGGTGCCAGTTCTCGGTGCACAGCCAAGTCTTTGGGCCAGACCCGTGCCCAGACACACACAAGTACCTCATCGTTTCCTACAAGTGCCGGCCAGGTAAGGTGGAGCTGGATCTGGGCGATGCTGTCGGGGCCTCTCCCCATCCTCAGCTGCTTGGGAAGGGCAGAGAGGAGAGCTGAGATGCTCCTGCACCTTGCGGCCCTCCTGCAGCACTGCGGCTTGGGATGTGATGGGGCACTCCGTGGTGTCACTCCCCAGGGAACCATCGGGTCAAAACTGTGTGTGAAAATGACAAGCTGAGGCTGCAGTGCCGGCCAAAATCCGTGCTGGCCATTTATTCTGCCAATTATGGGCGATTCCTGCGGGGCAAACCGGAGTGCGATGCCCTGAACGCTGCGGGACCCCATATAGGTATGCCAGAATGGGTCAAGCCACAGAAACAGGGACAGAAGCGGGCAGAGAGCATGGCACAAGTATGGCATGGGGCTGCCCCACAGGCAGGTCTGCCTATGGGTCCATGCCCCATCTCTCTGCAGAGTGCTTGGCTCCGGATGCCCTGCGGAGGGTCTCCAGGAAGTGCCACCGCAGGGGGAACTGCACAGTGGCTGCTGACCAGGCCACTTTCAGGGATCCATGCCTCCCTGGCACAAAGAAACAGCTCCGAGTGTCCTACACCTGCGGTGAGAGCCACCGCGGGGCCGGGGTCACTGGGGAGCCCCTGTCTTGCAACCCCGTGCCACACAGGCAGGGTGTGGGGCTGCTGGGTGGTGATGCTCCGTGTGTGCTCTCCTTGCAGTGCCCAAGCAGCTGCTGGAGGAGGTGGGCCCTGACACCTCGGACCCCTTCCTGCTCTCGGACTACATGCACGGTATCGTGAGGGGGAGGCTATGTCAAAAGCCATGTGTCTATGCCTGGGTGAACCAGGCCTTTCTTGGCCTGTCTGTGCCCATGGTGCCCACCACTGGCACACATCCCACAGCTCTACCCCAGCATCACAGTCCCATGGCTAACGCCACCCATCAGTCAGTGCCCACATCTGAGCAGCTGGAGGGATGTGGTCACTGGGAGCTGAGAAGAGGGGGACCCAGCAGGAGCATCCTGCAGGCAGAGAAGCACTTGTGCAGCAAGGAAGGAGAGTGGCATGGTGATGGGGGCAGGCAGCCGGCAGCAGGGCACTGGGGAGCATCCTGTGCCTCAGCTCACGTCCCCTTGTCCACTGCAGGTGGCTGGTACAAAGGGCCCAGGTTCTCCAGGCTCCGGGAAGACCGGATGATTTTTACTAGCACTCTGGCAGCTTTTGCCCACCTCTGGGGTACGTGCACTCCCCAGTTCTCACGCAGCACCTGGGGGAGCGGAACAGGCTTGGGAGGGTGGCTCAGGTCCCATGGTGGCCCCCACTCAGCCCTGGCTTGAGCACTCATGCTGGTCTGGGGCACAAGGACAGGAGCTCAGAAGAGGAATGAGCGCCGGGGTCCTGCAGCACCCGTGGTTGCAGTGCTGCTGCGGTCCTGCCCGCAGACCTTCCTTCTCTGACTGGCATCAGCTGGGTCTCCTTCCTTCCTGCCCTGTCTCTGGGGGCACTGATGGAGAACACTGCTCTGCAGACAGATTTTCCCTTGCCAGGGGAAATAGCTCATTTAAGTCCCTGGCAAGACAATTCCTCTGCCTGTTCTCCCTACCCTGCATCCCAATGGGGGCTTCCTATGGAAAAAGGGGCATTTTGGGACACTGGTGGGTGCTGATGTTGAGTGAGGCTCCCATTCTCACTGGGGCAGTCAGCCCTGGGTGCTGAGGGCAACCCTGCTCCTTTCCTCTTCTGCACATATGCCCAGCAGTGGGGGGCTCCCAGGCACTGGTACCTGCAGGCTCAGAGGCAGTTTGTACCCTGGTGTCTCTCTTTGCTCTTCACCCCCCAGGCGTCCCGGAGAAAGTTGGTCTTTACTTTCTTTGTGGGGTCTCTGGAGGCCTCATGCTCCTGCTGTGCATTGTCAGCCCCAAAACCACCTTCCTCCAGGAGGTGGGGGAGGCTCTCAGGGACCCAGAGCTGGGCAGCAGCTCAGAGCTGGGCAGGACCAAGCTTCAGGATGAGCAGGATGAAGACCTTCCCGACGACAGCTCTTCGGACTCCTCCTTCCGCCGCCTCACCCGCACCTACCATGCCACCGACAGCATCTTCAGCCCTGAGCTGACGGCAGCCATGGAAGGAGCGGTGGAGCACCAGGGCCGAGGCGGGGAGGAGATCTGGATGCCCAAGGAGTCGAGCCCATATGCCATCCACAAGATCAAATCGGCCACCAAATGAGAACTGGAGGAAAATGAAGGGAGAGCAATGTGGGGGGAGGTGGAGGCTGAGTGGGATCAAACATGGGAGAGATGGAGTTTGTGCTCCTCAGGGTGAGTGGACATCCCGAGTGGCAGCAGGGCCACAGTGGCCCCGGTGTGGCCATCAATTCACTGCTCCAACAGCATGGAAAACTCTAACCCAGGGGTGGTAAGAGGTAGTCCCTGGTGTGCTGAAGGGCTGCAGGTTGGCCCTGGGGACCGCTGGCTGCTTTGCTGCAAGCATGGCACTAACCTGCTTTGAGCCTTCCCAGGCTGTTTACTCCTGTTCCTTCTTGGATGTTGCTGCTTCCACCCCTGGTGCTGCCAACACCCTGCAGTGCTTGGGCTGCATGCTGACAGCGGGGATGCAGGGAGGGCGCAGGCAGAGCTGGTGGGAAAACATCACCCAGCACAGCCCTCCCATGCCACGGGCCTTGCGGCCCTGGTCCCCCCAGGGAGCTCAGCACAGGGCTGGTGCTCTGCCCCATGCATTGCTCCAGGCTTTCCTTTGTGCTTCCTCCACTGGCAAGGGAGCCCTGGGGGTAACTCGCTGGTGCTTATTCCAGTAAATAAACACAAAGGCTTGTACAGCAATGTCCCTCCCTGACCCCTGCCATTGGTGGTGTATATGGAGAGAAAAGGAAGTGGCAAAGCTCAGCCTTCCCTATGCAGAAGAGCTCATTGCCTCCTGCCTGTGTTTCTGGTGCTGGGCCATAAGGAGCAACAAGTTGGGCCTGTTTTAGCATGGGAAAGGAAAAGGGTTTAGCCTGAGGAAGGGAAAGGGGGGAAAAACGGTTCATGTGGATCCCATGAATGATGATTCCCTGTCCTCACTCCTCCTCCTGAGCCTGAGCCTCTCTGTAAGCATCCCTAGATGCTGTGCGTAGGGGCTTTTCAGTCCCACAGTGCAGAGAGCCAGGCTGGGCCTGGGGGCTGCTCCAGCTCCAACAGGCAGCACAGGCTCTGTGGTGCTGCAGGAAGGGGATGCATGGAAGCAGCGACCCAGATGCCACCCAGTAGGGTCACTCCAGGCACCAGTGGTCTTGAGCTGGTGCACTGCAGGGCCTGTTTCCCCGTCCATCAGTGCACATGAAGGGCTTGGGCTGGGCACAGCAAGAGAGGGCTGGGGGAGACATCAGTGCACCCCTTAATCCAGCTGGTGCTGGTGGTCTCTGGGAGCTGGGGGGCACTGGAGCCGCACTGTGCTCAGCAGTGGATGCTCTCCTGGTGCAGAGCTGAGCACCGTGGCTATGCAGCAGCCTCACACTCCTGCTCCAGTGGGGGGGGGGGGGGCAAGGACCTGTATCCTGCCTGATGTGGGGGTTTGCTGAGTGATGCCAGAGCCCAAGGGGAGCCTGGGTGGCTCTGGCCTCAAACTGGCCTCCAGCATCCTGAGATGATGGGCAAGACGGAGACCACAGACTTGCGCCTGTGCTTGGAGGGTTTGCCTTGCAGGGTCCAGCTCTTGCTCCCCCACCTTTCCTCCAGTACCCCTGTGGCACGTGCGGTGCGAGCTGCAGCTCCCACAAGTGGGAGCCTCCTGAGGACCTGCAGCATTGTGGGGACTGGAAAATCCAGCTTCCCGTGCCAAGCCTGGACAGGATGGGCAGACATGGACCTGCCCCAAAGGAGGCAGCTTGCCCAAGCCCCTGCAGAGCCGCAGGCAAACCTAGATGGAGGTTTTCTGGCTGAAGATCTTATCCCACAGGCCGATGCGCTGTGTTTCCATCAGCAGTGGGATGTGTCTCAGCTCTGCCTGGCAAGTATGAACCTGATGCATATTTTTGGCTGGAGGACATACTGCTCCAACATGCGCAAGGAGAGGCAGACACCTGGATCCCACAAGGATTCCAGACCAGCAGTGAGCAAACTTCAGGGAGCTCCCAGGCCAGGAGAGCAGCGGCTACACCACTGAAGCTGGGGCTTGAGAGGACAAGTGGATGAGGGGGAAATGGGATGGGCTGGAGCTGCAGCAGCCCTGACCCTTTCTGGGGACTGATGGCACCGGAAATCTGTGGACTTGTCATGGTTTAAACGAAGTCAGCCATAAGTCACACAGTCGCTCTCTCACTCCCCCCCTTTCTGAGCTCCCCCTGCTCCTGGAGGGACAGAGAGGAGAATCGAAAAGAATGCAACTCCCACGGGTTGAGATAAGAACAGTTTAGTAACTCAGGTATAACACAAATCACTACTGCTACCACCAATAATAGTAATGATAAAGGAAATAACAAGGGAAGAGAATACAACACCTCAGCACCAGGTGACTCGCCCCCCCAGCCCGACCAAACACCGACCGATACCTCCTCCAACCCTGCAGTCCCAGCCCTTCTGGGTAACTCCCAGTTACATCCAGGGCATGACGTGCTGTGGTATGGAATACCTCTTTGGTCAGTTTGGGTCAGGTGTCTTGTCCCTGCTTCCTCCCAGCTTCCCTCCTCCCTGGCAGAGCAGGAGGCTCACAAAGTCCTTGGCCAAACCAAAACATCATTGTTATCAGCTCTGTTCCCAGCTGAAAGTCAAAACACAGCACTGCACCAGCTACCAAGAAGGAGAAAAATGACTGCTACTGCTGAATGCAAGACAACTAAACCAGGTTAACCCCCCCCCCCCCCCCCAAGCCCTTTGAGCACCCAAAAACCATTCTGCTGCTCCTGGCCATCAGCAGCCCCAGGTCTTTCTGCTAGAGATGTGGCAGAGCTGCCTGTATATGGCCCCTGTCTGCAGGGAGAAAGGACTGATCCCACCTGCATAGCCCCTGGGCAGCAAGTTTGAGTCCCTTTGAATTCTGGCACTGGGATGTTTCCCTAGCAAGGTCCACCAGCAACAGCAGTGTGTGGGTGTGGGATTATCCCAAAGGATTTGGGTTACATTTAGTGGTCTGGAAGGTTTTGCTGGGAACCTGCCAAGGGTTTGGGGGGCAAGGAGCTCTCTCCCTGGCCAACATATTAAATAGCACCCCCTTATGTCCCGTTCCATGCTGCATCCGCAGCAGCGTGCTGCAGCCCTCAGAGCTCACCCAGCGGGAATGAACTGGTGACTGCTGCTGCCAGCCCTGCCTGGCTGCGGGTGATGGATCTGCCCGGGACACCCGCACAGCTCCTCCTGCTTTCACCAGCAGCAGGTCTGTGACAAGCGACGGGTGCGCTGTTTAACCTCGTAGTGAGGCAGCTCTGGTTTGTGCCTCGGGAGGTTTGAGTCGGTGTTCAAGTGACCCTGCAGTGCAGTAACTGCGAACCTTGCACCCAACAAACCGCGCCATCGCGTTGAAACGGCTCTGTCGATGCCTTTGACCGTGTTCTTTAAGCGAACCGAACCACACACTCACAATACCGGCTCACCGGCTCTCGGCCAGCCCAGGGTACCCCGTTTCCCCCCCCCCCCCCCGCGCCGCAGGGCCGGCCCGGCTGCGGGCAGGGCTCGAGCCCGCTGCAGAAGCGCTGGGCCCAGGTGCCTGCGGAGGGCGCTCCCCCAGAGCCAGGGACGCTCCTAGGGACGCTCCTCGGTTCGCCGGGGCGCGCCGGGCCCGTGGAACGGCGGCCGCACCACCACGAGCGCAGCCTCACCTCAGCCCGAGCGCCACCATGACACCTCCCCAGCGGCGCCGCGGCCATTTAAACGGCAACGCGTCCCACCAATCACCGCCCGCCTCGAGGCCGGCCGGCCCGCCCCGCTGCCGGCTCGCGCTTCCATTGGTTGGCTGGGGTGAATTTTAAATGCTGCCGTCCTGCCCCTTAGCAACCGCATCCTTACCTGCTCGCCGATTGGCGGCTGCGTGGCCGCGCCCCGCTCTCTGATTGGAGGACGCTCGGCCACTGTTGGCCGGCCGCAGTTGAACTGCTACTTTCAAAAGAGCCGGGGCCGGCTGCGGCGTGGAGCTGGGCTGCGGGTGAGTGCGGAGGGCTGCGGGGGGCTGCGGGGGAGTGAGGGGAGTGAGGGGAGTGAGGGCAGTGAGGGGAGTGAGGGCGGGGGGCAGGGGGCTGCGGGCGAGTGCGGTTGCGGGGTGAGTGAGTGCGGTGGGGCTGAGTGAGTGCGGTGGGGCTGCGGGGGGAGTGAGTGCGGTTGCGGGTGAGTGAGTGTGGTGGGGCTGAGTGAGTGCGGTGGGGCTGCGAGGGGAGTGAGTGCGGTTGCGGGTGAGTGCGTTGGGGCTGCGGGTGAGTGCGTTGGGGCTGCGGGTGAGTGCGTTGGGGCTGCGGGTGAGTGCGTTGGGGCTGCGGGTGAGTGCGTTGGGGCTGCGGGTGAGTGCGTTGGGGCTGCGGGTGAGTGCGTTGGGGCTGCGGGTGAGTGCGTTGGGGCTCGGGTGAGTGCGTTGGGGCTGCGGGTGAGTGCGTTGGGGCTGCGGGTGAGTGCGTTGGGGCTGCGGGTGGCGCGTGCGTTGGGGCTGCGGGTGGCGAGTGCGTTGGGGCTGCGGGTGAGCGAGTGCGTTGGGGCTGCGGGTGAGCGAGTGCGTTGGGGCTGCGGGTGCGTGCGTGCGTTGGGGCTGCGGGTGCGTGCGTGCGTTGGGGCTGCGGGTGCGTGCGTGCGTTGGGGCTGCGGGTGCGTGCGTGCGTTGGGGCTGCGGGGTGGTTGGGGCTGCGGGTGCGTGCGTGCGTTGGGGCTGCGGGTGCGTGCGTGCGTTGGGGCTGCGGGTGTGCGTGCGTTGGGGCTGCGGGTGCGTGCGTGCGTTGGGGCTGCGGGTGCGTGCGTGCGTTGGGGCTGCGGGTGCGTGCGTGCGTTGGGGCTGCGGGTGCGTGCGTGCGTTGGGGCTGCGGGTGCGTGCGTGCGTTGGGGCTGCGGGTGCGTGCGTGCGTTGGGGCTGCGGGTGCGTGCGTGCGTTGGGGCTGCGGGTGCGTGCGTGCGTTGGGGCTGCGGGTGCGTGCGTGCGTTGGGGCTGCGGGTGCGTGCGTGCGTTGGGGCTGCGGGTGCGTGCGTGCGTTGGGGCTGCGGGCGGGTGCGTGCGTTGGGGCTGCGGGCGGGTGCGTGCGTGCGTTGGGGCTGCGGGTGCGTGCGTGCGTTGGGGCTGCGGGTGCGTGCGTGCGTTGGGGCTGCGGGTGCGTGCGTGCGTTGGGGCTGCGGGTGCGTGCGTGCGTTGGGGCTGCGGGGGGAGTGAGTGCGTTGGGGCTGCGGGCGGAGTGAGTGCGTTGGGGCTGCGGGGGGAGTGAGTGCGGTGCGGCTGCGGGGGGAGTGAGTGCGTTGGGGCTGCGGGGGGAGTGAGTGCGTTGGGGCTGCGGGGGGAGTGAGTGCGTTGGGGCTGCGGGGGGAGTGAGTGCGGTGCGGCTGCGGGGGGAGTGAGTGCGGTGCGGCTGCGGGGGGAGTGAGTGCGGTGCGGCTGCGGGGGGAGTGAGTGCGGTGCGGCTGCGGGGGGAGTGAGTGCGGTGCGGCTGCGGGGGGAGTGAGTGCGGTGCGGCTGCCGGGGAGGGTGGCTTCTGGGACCCGCAGTCCCTCGGGAGCTGCAGGAGAGGGGACCTCCGGCTCTGTGTGGGATCCTGGGCTGCAGGGCAGTGCGACCTGCTCTTAGGGGTGGATGCTGAGTCCCTTCCTCCTTCGAGGGTGCTGGACCGCTGCTCTCTATGGACTCGGTATCCCCCTGCAGGCCCGTTTCCCAGCTCCCTGAGGGAGGGCAGCGCTGGGCACCCTTGTCCTGGGGGCTTCTGCTCCTCTGGAGTGTGGAGGTTATCCTAAGCTCACGTACCCACCCTGTGTTTGGGGTGGGGGGTAAAGCAGTGGGAGCTCTTGTATCCCTCTCTGAGATGCAGGGAGCTGTGCACTGTCTCTCACACATCAGCCCCGCTAGCAGCAGGGTGCTGTTGGCAGGGGTCATGGGGCAACATGTCCATCGTGTCCTGTTTTCCCCTGGGAAGAGCATACCAGCCCTTCCCTGCACCCCCAGAACACCTTCTGCCATGCTTGGGAGGGTGTCGGTGCTTGTCCCTGCTGCACTACCCCAAGAAGGGACAAGTGCTGTGGCTTGTGAGGGTGTCTCTGGGCAGCCGCCTGCATTAAGTCCTGCTCCACTCCCAGCTTGTTTGTAGAGGCTGAGGGAGAGGATGCCATTGACACGCAATGCCAAGATGGTGACCACCAAGCAGCCCCGAGCAGGCAAGATGGGTCCTGCTGCAGAGAATGCCAACCCTGACAAGGTGAGTCCTGAGCCATGAGAGGGATGTGGGAGTCTCCTTTGGGGCAGCAGGCTGTCATTTCAAACAGCTTCTATTGCAGGAGGAGAGCTCTCAGGCCAAGAGGTCTCCATCCTCACCCCAGGGTAGACCCAAGAAGAGGTCAGCATTTGGGGACATCACCAATGTAAGTGCTTCTGCTTTGGTACCCCCTTTGAGCCCCCCGAGGGAGCGGGGCTGGGTACCAACTCCAGCACAGACTGGGGGGTGTCCCATGTCCTGTCTGTGGGAGGAGAGGTCTCCCTGCAAGGCAGCCCTCTGTATGCCCCTATTCTCACCCAAACAGTCTCACAAGAACCAGGTGGTGGCAGGGAAGAAGGAGGCTGTGAAAGCAGTACCGAACAAGGTGCAGAAAACCCATGCTGGTCTGGGGGTGGCCGAGAACAACGAGATCAACCTGAAAAAGTGAGTAACCAGAGGAGAGGGGACTGGGACCAGGGGATCTCTCCCATGGGGAAGAACAAGCTGTGGTGGTGACTTCCTTTGGGCAGGGGAGACTGTGAACCAGATGGGGAGGGCAGACAACAGGTAAAACAGCTCCAGGTTATGCCAGAGGTTTAGGTTGGATACTAGGAAAAGTTTCCTTACCAAAAGGCTTGTCAAACACTGGAATGGGCTGCCCAGGGAAGCAGTTGCTTGACCATCCCTGGCGGTGTTTGGAAGTCACATGGATGTGGCACTCGGGGGCATGGTTTAGCTGTGGACTTGGCAACATTAGGTTTGCAGTTGGACTGGATGACATTGAAAGTCTTTTCCAACCTAAATGATTCTAAGAGTCAATATGGGGACATTCTAGGGGTGGTTTAGACCGTTCCTCAGGCAGCAAGGGGCTCTGGAGAGTCAGGCAGGAGATCTGGCCTCCTCCCAGCAATGATTCATGTTCTTGTCCTGTCCAGGTCAATGAAGAAAAGCCCCCTGGTAGAGGCTCCTGCAGAACCCAAGGAGGATTCTGTGCCAGTGGAGCTGGTGCCTGTTCAGGTACTGGATCCCTCCAAGGAGAGGGTATGGACCCTGGGCTGCAGCATGGCCCCAGTCCCATCCCATCCTGATGGTGCTGGTCTAAGGCTACCACTGGTGATGCCAGGGCACTTGGGCAGTGTGATGTGAAGCTGGGGAGGGTTTGGGGTAACCCCCCAAACCTTCTGTCTTCAAAAGACCTTCTATGGAAAAGGGTAGGGTGGGGCTGCAGTGAAGGGGGCAGATGGGAAATGGGGGCCAGGGGTACTGCAGCCTTGTCCCGAAGGAGTAACCAGCACACACAGGGCTTGGGGTTATCCCCTGAGCGCTGGCTCTGTCCCACCAGGTGCCTGTTGTGGAGGACATTGACAAGGAGCAGCTGGGGGACCCCTATGCCAACGCCGAGTACGCCAAAGACATCTTTGAGTACATGAGGGGAAGAGAGGTGGGTGATGCCTGTCTGGGGAGTGCCCTGGCATGAGCAGGGCTGCCTGCTGCCCCGAGGCTCTGGTGGGGGCCTGCATGGGACAGGAGTGCTGGTGCTGGTGCCTGGTGAGTCCCTGACAGCCAGTACCTTGGCAGGAGAAGTTTATACTCCCTGACTACATGGAGAAGCAGCCAGACATCAGCGGGGAGATGCGTGCCATCCTGGTGGACTGGATGGTGGAGGTGCAGGTATGTAACCAGGCCATGAGGAGAGGGCATGGCCTTCTGCAGGTCTGTCCCAACCTGGGTTGGGGGGGATGGGGGGGATCACAGTGTGGTGGCAGAGGCTCCCTTGGGTGTCCCCAGTTCAGAGCTGACCTTGCCCTTCCCCAGGCTGGGGGTGAGCCTCTGGCCCCTGCCATGGAACTGGGGGGGGGGTGTGGGTGCCTTCTGCCTGACACCTCCCTCCTGCCCCCATCTCTGCAGGAGAACTTTGAGCTGAACCACGAGACGCTCTATCTGGCTGTGAAGCTGGTGGACCACTACCTGGTAGAGGTGGTGAGCATGAGAGACAAGCTGCAGCTCATTGGATCCACTGCCATCCTCATTGCCTGCAAATTTGAGGTGACTCCTCATGTGCTGTGCTGGGGTGGAGTGGGTGCTGGGCCTCCCTCATCCCCACAGGTCACTGAAGGAGGCCAGGTCCCTGTGGTGCCAGGCTGCTGCCCTGGGAGCAGCTTGGGGGGGCATGCCTGTCCTTGTGTTGACCCTTCCTGTGCCAAAGGGCTGTGAATGCAGTCCTCATGGGCTGGATCCTGTCTCCTGGTGTCACTGGAGACCTGGCTTCTCTGCTCTGGAGACACTACCAAGACACCCAAGCTCCCCTCAGGCAAGCAAGAGCCCGAGTCACTGCCACAGGCTGGGGCAGTGCAGGTGACACACAAGCCCCACTGGGTCTTGTAACAGTCCTTTTGGGGTCTGGCAGGGCATGAGCCCTTACAGGGCCTGCAGACTGGTTGATAGGATTTCCTGGGTAGTGCCAGTTTGAGCCCTGTCAGGGTGCTGAGTGGTTGTGCCCCACAGGAGCGGTGCCCACCATGCGTGGATGACTTTCTCTACATCTGTGATGATGCCTACAAGCGGGAAGAGCTCATTGCCATGGAGATGAGCATCCTCACCGCCCTCAACTTCGACATCAACATCCCCATCCCCTACCGCTTCCTGCGGCGCTTTGCCAAGGTGGGTGCAGCAGGAGGGTGGGCTGGTTGCACAGTGCCTCCAGACACCCCATGTGCTGGCTTCCCAGGGGGTGACATGCATCCCTGAGGCCCAGGGCTCGCAACAAGGAAGGGTTGGGCCAGGTGTGAGGATGCTGGTGGGGTGTGGAATCTGTGTCCTGTACCCCAGAGGCAACACTAGATCCTGGAAAGGGTGAGAAGGGGGAGGAAACCTCATTGCTGTAGAGGCTGAGCCTTTCCCTGCATGCCTGCCTGGCCACAGTGTGCCCATGCCACCATGGAGACGCTGACGCTGGCCCGCTTCCTCTGCGAGATGACCCTGCAGGAGTACGACTATGCCCGTGAGAGCCCCTCCAAGCTGGCTGCCAGCTGCCTGCTGCTGGCGCTCACCATGAAGAATCTCGGCGGCTGGGTAAGTGCCCACTCAGCCCCATGCTCTGCCAAGGTGCCCGGGGAGGCACCGTGGGGTGCGGGAGTGGATGGAGCACGGGTGATGCTCCAGGACCATGCTCAGGTTGGGGGGGCTGGAGAGGGAGGATGATGGCTGAGAGTGCCCAGCCCTGTTGTCACTTTGCAGACCCCCACACTGGAGTACTACAGTGGGTACCGCTGCCAGGACCTGCACTCTCTGGTCAAGAGGCTGAATTTCCTGCTCACATACCAGCCTCGGGACAAGCTGAAGGCCGTGCGCACCAAGTACTCACACAGGTGCGAGTCACGGGGCTCTGCCCTCCCTGTGCACGGTGGCACCACCACAACCCCGTGCCCTTGTGTGCCATAGGGACCTCGGGGCTCTGATGCGTGGAGCTGTAGCTGAGGTCTGAGCCAACATGCTTCCTTCCAGGGTCTTCTTTGAGGTTGCCAAGGTCACCCCCATGGATATGCTGAAGCTGGAGGAGATACTGAAGAGCTGCTAGCCCTGTCTCTGTACATAGCCTGTAAATAGTTGGGTGCTCTCTTGCGAAGGAACACCATGTACATAAAGAAGAATTTTAACTAAAGGGGAGGGAGTGGGATTAAAAAAGAAAGTTCATGTAGTTGTGAATAAAATAATGTGTTTGTCTTATGGGCTGGCTCGTGTTGGTGTTGGGACAGGAGCAGGGCTGACGGGGAGTACGCTGCAGTTCCCCTTGCTGCGTTGGGGCAGGGCAAGGGGCTTGTTGCATGATGGGGAGCAGGAAGCTGAGGGGTGAAGGAGGGAAGGGTCCCCCCCACCCCCTGCCTACCCCTCAGTAATGACACTACATGAGCAGCAGCAATGAGTGTCTCTTCTCGAGATATTTACACAGCTTCAATACCCACATGGGGAAGGGGAATCTCTGCTTTGGCCCCAGCACAGGCACACACATGGCAGCCCCAGCTCCTCTAGTGGTGCTGCCAGGGCCTGGATGGGGGGTTAGACCTCGGTTCCAGTGGTTCCAGTCCCACAGGCTTGTGGAGAAGCAGCGGCTTCAGGGACTCTGGGGGACGAACAGGCAAAGCAAGGCAAGCAGGGCTGCTCCAAACACACAGGGCACAGCAGGGACCTTGCATTCCCCCTGCCCGACCCCTGCTCCCTGGGGACAGCACTCAGCATGGCCTAGGGCGGGTTGCTGAGCTCCTTAATGGCCTGGAGGATTCTCTTCATGTGGCCCACTTTGGTGATGCCCAGGTCCTGCAGGGAGGAGAGAGGGCTGCTGATGTGCTCATAGGGGACCAGCCCTTGCCGCGGGCAAGCTGCAGTGTGGAGGGTGAGGTTGCAATGCCCAGCTCTCCCCATGCTCCCTGCCCCAGCACAGTCCTTGCTAGGAGCCTTCTGTTCTCTTACAGGCAGGTCCCCATGCCTGCGTGCAGCAGCAGCCATGGTGCTGTTGATCCTGGTATGGGTGTTCAGAGCCTGGATGTCCAGGGCGAGCCTGCTTCCCTCCTCCCACCCCCTGCATGCCAGCCAAGCAAGCAGTGCGCGAGAAGGGCTGTACCTTCAGGTCTCTCCTCTCCAGCAGGATCAACTCAGAGCCCTGGATGTCATGCCGAACAAAAATGTCTCTGTACTCCCCTAAGCCGAGCGCTTCCAGCCAAGCTGCCACCTCCTCGGAGCCCCACTTGTCTGCTAGCAGGGAGGAAAACCACAGAGGTGGGTGGGTGCCGGTGAGGCAGCAGGGTCCAGCAGGGCATGCACTGAGGGCAGCGGTGGGGCAGGCTGCAGCCAGCATCCCTCCTCCATCCCTGGCAGGGCTGCAGCCACAGCAGGTTCCTCCTCTCCTTAGCTTACCTGCAGAGCATCTCAGCACGTCCCCCTCGACAAGCCTCCCAGCCCTGGGGCACAGACTTACCCAAAGGGCTGAGCTGTTCCGCAGCCCCTTCTGCCCCTTGCGCTGGTGGTGGAGTAACAGGGCCAGGGGGCTCCGTATGTCCGAGAGCAGAAAAACTAAGGCCTATGGGGCTGTTGGTGACAAAGGACATCCCCAGCCAGCCAGGACATGCCCTGTCCCCCTCCCAGAGGGTATCTCCACAGCATGCCCAGGACAGGAAGGCGATGGCATCTAGGGGTCCCTACCAGCATGTGCTGCACGTGCTTTACCTGGGAGCACGCTGTTGGTCTTCTGCTTCTGTGCCTTGTCCTTCCTGGGCTTGGGGATGTTGAGGCGAAGCTTGAAGCTGCCCTTGTTGGTGCTGCCGGCACCCTCCTGCAAGAGGCCAGGCTGAGCAGGGCACTGCCCCCCCCGGGCCACCCCTCTCCCGGCCCCTGTGCACCCCAACCTCCTCAGCGGGGTGGGCGATGGGCCCCAGCCAGTGGATGTCCAGCAGCCGCTGCAGCTCCTGGCCCAGCACACCCAGGGGCCCGTGCAGCGCCTCCTCCTCCTGCGGCGAGTCCAGCTGTGGGAACAGGGGCTGTGCCCAGCTCTGCTGCCGTGCCAGGGCGCAGGCTCCTGCCCGGGGGGCTCAGGGCGCTCGCGGACCCCCACTCACCGCCTTCGCCTCCAGGAACGCCCTGGTCTCGGTGTACAGCTCCTTGATGCTCAGCACCACCTCCACAGCCACGCTCCTGCTGAGAAACTGGGGGCCGGGAGGGGTGCCCCATGAGCGGCAGGACCCGGGCGGGCTGGGCAGAGGTTGTCCCGCACCCCCAGCCCCAGCTCACCTCCGAAGTGCCTGCGGTTCTGTTGGAGAGGGCCTCGCTCAGTGCCAGGGAGCTGATGTTGACAGCGTGCGCCAGCTCCTGCTCCACAGCTCTGTGAGCCTTGGCTGCCTCATGGATCCTGTGGGAGACAGGGGCTGGAGCTGCTGGGGCTCCCCGGGCACGGGGACACAGACCCCTGGAGCTCTGGGTGGCCGCGCCGCAGCAGATCTGCCCTGCCCCATGGCCACCACGTCACCTGTCCCACGGCCAGACCTGGCAATGAGGGTCTCGGCCACCCGCGAGACCTGCTGCAAGAGGCTGCTCTCCTCCTCCGTCAGGTACTCCATGGACTGCTGGGAGCTGAGCCGCGGCCGCGCAGCCGCACGGTAACTCTCGCCCTTCTGTTTGTCCTCCCAGGACTTGAGAGTGCTCTCGAATGCCTGCGAGGGGTGGAGATGGCCCCTCACTCAGCCTGCTGCACCCCTGTGCCCCAGCGCAACGCCGAGCTGCACCCACCCGATCCCGCGTCAGCATCTGCGCTCGGTTCTTGTGCTGGATCTTGATGATGCCGGGTGGCTGGATCCATGCTTCTCCATCCACCTGCACAGGGACACCCTCATCCCCCCGGATGGTGATCTTCACCACACGGCACTGCGGGGCAGAGAGCCTGGGGTTGGCAGCGCAGCCAGCACTGCCCCACTGGCTTCAACTGCTGCGCAGCCTCCCAGTGCAGTGCCAGTGCCAGCCAGGAGCTCAGCTGGTGCCCCAAACGTGTCTTGCACCACGCGGGTCCTGCAGGGACCCTTGCCCCTACCTGTGCAATGCGATGGTGCTGGAGGTTGATGACCCGTGACACGGCCATCTGGATGCTGCCAAAGACGGCCACCACCTCCAGCTTCCTGTCATCAAAGGATGGAGCCCCAAAGTTCTGCAGAGGACCAGTACAAGTGAGACTCCCAGACTGGGCTCGTCTTGGGACCCACATTTCCCCCTGTGTGTGTGCCTGAGGCAGGGACACCCTAGGCTCCTGCCTGAGGGCTCTGAGATTCCCCAGGCTACAGGAAGGACATCACAGCCCTCTCCCAGCTCCACGGCCCTGGCACTCACGTTGTCCTCCTTGGTGCCTCCCCAGAAGTTGATGCCCCCTGCGTAGCTGGGGATGTTGAGCACCGCGATGCCCTGCAGGCTCGGCAGCGAGATGGGCACCCCGTCGCACTGCAAGAGAGGGCTGAGCTTGGGGGGCCGCTGCCCCCCCCCCACTCCCTGTGCCCCAGACCCATACCTCCAGCTGCACCCGCTGCTCCAGGTTCTTGTAGGTGCGCTGCAGGAGCTCTTTCGTGCCCAGCACCCCGTACCACATCATGTTCTTGGTGCGGCTACTGCAGGGTGAAGCAGGGCAGTGCGAGGGGCTGTGAGCTCCCTTCTGCTGGGTGCAGGTGGGAAACCTGCTGCAGGAAGGGGGCCCCAGCCAGGCAACATCAGTCCCATGGCTCCTGGCACCCTCATAGCCCCTCCTGCTGCAGGCACCCAAGAACCAGAGGCATATATTTTTCCAGGGCTGGTCCAGCCAACCTGCACTTCTTGGGGTGCTCATCCCGTTTGTTGTTGAACTCCAGGGAGATCTTGGCATCCAGGCCGATGCCAAAGTAGTTATTCATGACGCATTTCTCTGAGAAGTGGCTGAAAGCAGCAGATGGGGTAAGCGGGTTGGGTGGCAGCTGCACACCACAGCCATCTGCGGGGCTGGCACCAGGGGACACGGTATGAACCCGCTGGAGCTGCGGTGGGAGCTCCGGGAGGGGCTGGCACCGGGAAGCCTGACTGAAGCCAGCACCCACAGCTCAGAGCTCCCAGCGTGGGCACAGTGCTGGCCACCGTGCTGGCAGCAAGAGATCCTGCACCAGGAAGGGAAGCCTGGGCACCAGGATGCAGAGGATGCCCCAGTGGCCACAGGCAAGGGGCAGCATGGTCCCAGCTGTGCTCCCTCCCAGCAATGGGGAGCAAGGGTGGGTAAGGGTCCCCAGTGGGACATGGCCCCAGACTCACAGGACACTGGGGTCTTCAGGGAACTGCAAGCTGCCGAAGTTGTCCGGCCGGTCCAGGATGACAGAGGAGGATGCAGAGGTCACCGTCTCCTGCCGGGAGCCTGGCCAAGCAGAGAGCAGGCAGATGCTGAACTGGCTCTTGCTCTGAGCCCATCCCACAGCGCACCCCCATTCCACCCCCAAAAAACACGTGTCCCATTGGCATCTTACTCAGCCTCTCTTCCTCCTTGTTGAGCTCCTCTGAACTGTTCTTGCTGGGGCCCAAGCTGCCCTGGTAGGCCTGCGTCTGCTTGTTCTGCTCATCCACAGCTGGATGTGAAAAGGGGCATGACAGTGAGTTTGGGCAGCCCTGTGTGCCCTCCCCATGCACCCTCCCCGGGTCAGCCTTGGGCGCTCTGCCCCATGCCGAGGACTTCCATCGGCCAGGCCAAGCACTGCAGAAGGGCTGATGCCCTTGGACTGCACAGCACTGCTGCCACCTCAAGTGTTCAGAGGGGAAACCAAGGCAGGGGTCTGGCACTAGCCTGGGGGGGCTCTGCAGCCCCATGCAAGCCACTGGCTGCCCCTCACCTTTCTCCGCCTGCTCGATGATCTGCCGCAGGGCTTTCTTCAGGCTGTTTGCCCGCAGCATCAGCTGCTCCTTGGATTTGAAGATGCGGGGCACGGGGCTGGGGTTGAAGCCGCCACCCTTCTCCTGGTCCTTGGTGTCAGCAGTGGCCTGTGCAATCCCCTCAGGGACCACGACAGCCTGAGCCTCCTCGCTGAGCTCCCGCACCAGTGAGTCCAGCTTCTCGTTCAGCATGGCGCACTGCAGGATGCGCCAGCTCAGCACCCGGGCACAAGCCACATCTCCCCAGCAGGGTGGGTGCTTCCTGGGCACCCTGAGTGCTGGCACCCCATCTTCGCCCAGGCGCTGCATGCCTGACTGGGTACCCCAGGCACAGCACACCCTGCTGCATGCACAGCAAGGGCACCGGCCACCAGAGCAGACCCCACCAGCCCTTCCAGTGCATGGGCTGTGCCCCCCAGCATCACCCTGTCCTTCGGCCGCCTCCCCTGCACCCACCTTCCGCGCCATCAGCTCTGCCTCCTGCTTGTTCTCTGTTGCCCTCTTGTAAGCGCGCCCAACCTCGGCCACGAAGTCATTGATGGTGCCACAGAGGAACCTGCCAGGGGAAGCAGCTGGAAGGTGGGAAGGGGCATGCCCCAGCCAAGCACAGCCAGGGGGGCTGCCCCAGGGTAATGCCCCCCTGCACTAGGCTGGCAGTGCCAGCATGATCTGCCTGGCACCGGTGCTACCAGTGGTGGGGCTCAGCACTGCGGGGGACACAGTGGGGGTCTCCAGCACCCCAATCGCCAGCCCCCTCCTTACTTTGCAGAGGAGATCACCACCGAGTGCTTGTCTGACTCCAGGATCTTGGCCAGGTGGGAGGCAACAGAGTCAGCGTAGTGGGAGATCTGAGCCTGGGGTGGGACAGGAGAGGACAGTTGGAACCATGCCACCCAGCCTGGTGTCCTGCTCCAGGGCAGAGCCTTGCCCAGCCAGCCCTGGAGCAGGGACGAACAGCCCTGCTCTGCCATGCCCGCACTGCCAGGCACAAGGGATGCTCAGCCACAGCAGAAGAGAAACTGAGGCAAGGGGTGAGGTGGAGCACAGGGATGAGTCCAGAACAACCTGCCGGTTTCAGGCCAGCTCTGCCTCACCCTGCTGCCCTCCCAGGCACCACAGTTGCCAGGCTGACACCCGCCAGACTCACGTCACCACCACATGGAGCCAGCCCCCTCAGCCCTGGTCCCCAGGGACCCCCGGCCTCAGCCCTCCCGGTGCAATCCCACCCTGCCTGCTCCTGGTGCCCACCTGGATGTTGGAGTCCCCATTCTCCTCCTTCAGTGCCAGGGAGCACTGCTTGGGCACCTCATAGGTCAGCACACTCCACCTGCCGAGCAGAGACCGCTGCTGCCCGCCACCTCCCAGCGCCACACAGGGGGACACGCGAGGTGCCAGCGCTGGGCAGGCGCAGAGCAGCACGTGCCCCGTGCCACGCTCACCGGTCCAGCATCTTGGTGGTGGCTCTCTCCAGCTTCTCGAGGATCTGCAGCAGCTGGGTGTCATCATCGCACAGGCTGCCCCAGCCCAGCACCCGCGCCAGGTCGTTGCCGGTGCCCAGGGGCAGGACGCCCAGCTGGCACTGCGGACAGGGACGGGATGGAGCGTTCAGAGCTGCTCCTGCCACAGCTGTGCCCATCGCTCCCAGTGCCCCGGGGCTGGGGCTGGCTCATGGCACTCCCACTCACCTGCTTGTGGAGGCCCAGGGCATCGATCTCGGAGAGCACCCAGCCCACGCTGCCATCGCCCCCGCACACCAGGATCCGGAAGGTGGAGAACTTCTGGAAGAGGCGCAGCCTGGTGCAGGGAGAAGAGACAGGGCTGCAGCGGAGCCGGGTGCCTGCAGCACCCCACCGGCCACCCCACGCCACCCAGCCCAGCACCTACCCCAGGTGGGGGCCCCCATTCATGAGGTCGAACACTTGGGCTGGGTTGAGGAACTGCTTGAATTTGCGCAGGAACTTGACACCCTGGTTGTCCCCACTCTTGGAGTTGACGAAGGCCAGGAGTGGGCTGGAGCAGCTCGAGGGGCATGTGGCCTTCCAGAAACCTGCAGCGAGCCTGAGAGTGCATGAGCCCCAGCCCTGGCTAACGGAGCTGCCTCCAGAGAGCAGAGGCCACATGGACAGCCCTGACTGTGCTGCACCCCCCTGCAGGGTGCTGGGGTCAGGCAGGAGAGACAGCGACTGGGGCTGCCCAGGGGATGACAAGGTGTGGAAGATTCAGAGGTGGAACTGTGAATGGGAACAGGGATGGAGCTACGGATGGGCAAGGCTAGGGCTGGGGCAGATCCAAACCAGGTTCCTGCTCCATCACCATCCCTTCAGGCACAAATGTGTCACCAAGCTGACTCACATCCCTGGGCTGCCGCTCCATAAAGGGCAGTGGCAGTGGGTGCACAGGAGAGCCAGTTCCACATTGTGCCAACAGCCTGTCTGCGACCAACCCAGCAAACCCAGACGGGAGCAGGACATGCTCCCACCAGGAGTGGTGCGCCCAGAGGTGGCACTAGCAGCTGGCATGACCACAGGGGACCAACCAGAGCCTGGGGGGCTGCTGACACCCCCAGCTCTGCCAGGCTCCGGTGGGGTGGGGGTGACTCAGAAGCCTCAGGAAGCTTGGCAGCCAGAATCATGCTTTTAAAGAAATGAGATGGGGAACAAAATGTGTTTGATGCAGAGGAGGCTCAGCACTGGCTCGCAGCCATGCTCTGCTCCAGCCCATCCTGGCCATACCGGGGCAAGGGCAAGTGCCCGCTGGCTTGTGCCCTTGGCACACCGGGTAGTCCTCTGACAGGGATCCTGCATCAGCCCTCACTGCCAGCAGCACCAGCCCCACTGGGAGCCCCTTGACTGGGAGCCCCGCTGGCTCCACCGCCTGGGAGCAGCATCCCTCAGCTCAGCACCGGCTGGTCCAGCGCGGCCTGGCATGGCCCCATCTCTGCTCCCAGCCCAGCTGAATGGGGCCATTGGCAAAGGGAAACACTGGGGGCTGCTGAGTCAGAGCGTGGCTGCCCAGAGGAGCCTGCACCAGCAGCACCCGTGCTGAGGGACACCACTGCATGGTGAGGGACACCGTGATGGCATGGCTCTGCAGCAAAGCTGGGCTCATGGCAGCCACACCAGCCTCAGGAGAGGCACCAGGCAGAGATGCTTCTGCAATGAGCTACGAGCAGCCCTGGGAGCCGGAGGAGAAGCCGCGTGATGGCTCCCCTGCCAGCACCCGATGAGTAAGGAGCAGCAGATGAGCCACCAGCTGAGGAGAGCAGTGAAAACTATTAAAGAATGAGGAAGGAAATATCCGGAGCAGAACAGATTTCACTTGCCAGAGGCTACTGGGGCCTTCTAGAGAGGCTGTGGGAACAGCAGGGGGCAACCCCAGGGCTGCACATTGCTTCTCCCCAGCACCCTGCACCAGCCATGGCGGGGGGGGGGAAGAGGCTGTGCTTTGCACTACCAATAACTCAACGAGGTTCAGACACGAAGAAATGACCGAAGCAAGGACTTCACCCTGCCCTGTGAGGTGCTGAACCACTGGGGTGCAAAGTGGGGCACCCCACATCAGTGCCCCAGGGCTGGTGCCACTGACCACGGTCAGGGCCACTGTGAGAGTCAACCTGGGCAACAAGCAACCCTTAAACCAGAGGTGCGGCTGGGATGGACACTGACTCTGGAGCCTACTGATGGTGATGTTCCTGGTGCCCCACAGGAAAGCAGGCTTAGTGCCACAGATCAAAGCCTGTAGAGAGGCTCAGAGAGCTCACAGTCCTGTCCCAAACAAGCTGTCCCCCTCCACCCACAGCCCAGCCCTATCCTCTCCATGACTCACCGTCTGAATCGATGCTGTTCAAGGCGGTCGGTGGGATTATGGACACTTTGTACTGGCCCAGAGGGCACCTCTTGCCAAAGAGCTCCTTGCAGGCACTGTGAACCTGGGGACGCAGAGACAAGTGCATCAGCAGAGCTACGGGATGTGGCACCAAAGCCCCCAGCCTGTTTCCCAGTGATGCACCCAGGAGGGGCAGGGTGGGCACTGGGATGGACACATCCTTACAATGGCCTTGCACCAGAGACACCGCCAGTCCTGCAGCCGCCGGACGCTGCCGCAGGTCCTGTCGCAGACAGCACAGCGCGCACTGACAGGCAGGTTCCCCTCCAGCCACTGGTGGGGCATGGCCACCTGCAGAAAAGAGGGGTCACCGGCAGCACAGCACCGGCTACCGCTATGCCCGAGGGACAGCAGCACCCAGGAGACAGTCCCCACAGCAGGGCCAGGCAGCTCCAGGTCCCCCCCATTCCTGCTCATCCCTGCCCTGCAGCTGCCAATGCATGGACCAGGGCCGGGCCGTCCTCAGCAAATGTCTGCGGGTGGCAGACATGGAAAGCGATTTATCCTTTAGGATGCTGGGAGGTGGAGGGGGTGTCCCTGGGCCGTGTCCCCACCAGCCAAGCCCAGAGGCCACAGAGTGCAGGGGACAGCTTGGTGACAGGGTCCCCCAGACCCCGATGTGGGGGCACAACAAGGCCAGCTCTGCTGGAGTCCCCTGCGGAGGCTCCCCAGCTCACCCCATCCTCATCCTCGATGATGTCAGTGCCGATGGAGGCCAAGGTTGTCCACTTGCAGTTGTTGGTGGCTCTGACAGCGCAGCGCTTGTGTGCCTTGAACTTGCAGACTGAGTGGGGGGGAGCAGGGATGGTCCCCAAGGGATGCCAGTGATGGCGGCCAGTGGGTATCACCCCATATCCCTCCTGCTCCAGGCCAGCCTCTGAGGGGGCCCCCAGCCCAACCCCAGCACTGACCTTCACAGGAGAGGCCATGGGAGGTGACCCCTGGCAGCGCTTCACGGCACACATTGCAGAAGGTGGGGCGGGCATGGGAGCAGGCGTACCAGTTGTGCATGCCCGAGAAGTGCTCCATGTTGAACTGTGTGGCCTGTGTGGGGCACGGCCCTGCCCCTCAGTCCCATGGCACCCCCAGCACTCCCTCCTTCCCTCCCCGCTCCTGTACTCCCCGCAGCTGCACCGAGGACAGCAGCTCCCGTTCAGCAGCCAAAGGCTCCTGACAGGTACCCGCTTGCAGACCAGCACCAGTGCAGCCCCTTGCCAACGTCACCTCATGGATCTCCCACTTCTGGACAGACTTCAAGGCGCTGATCCAGTCCTCCATCTCCTTCCGGTTCTCCGCACACAGGATAAGCTTCCGGAATGGGGTGATCACCTGCAGCAGCCACTGTCCCCATGTCCCCGTGCAAAGCCACCATGCAGCCAGCCACCCCCAGCAAACCCCAGCATGCCGCCTCCAGAGCCACCTCCAGGAGCACAGGGCTATGCTGTGGGGTGCCCCATGGCTCTGCCAGGCTCCAAGCAGCAGCCCTGTGCCTGCCTCACCGTGAAGCTGTTGTTGATGTTCTTGGTGCTGGTCTCAGCCACGCTGGCATCGGAGAGGTCCACTTCATCAAATATCAGCGACTGCAGGGGAGAGACCGGTGCCCCAGTCCACCAGGCAGGACTTGGGCTCCTCCCGGGGCTCGCAGCCTCAGAGCCCCTGGCTGAGCAAGCTGGAAGCATGTCCCCAGCCCACCTTGGCATCCTTTGCGTAATAGAGCGTCCTGCCCCGCAGTTTGAAGTACCGCCGCTTCCACCGCTGGAAGGAGCTTGTCTGCTTCAGCAACAGCCCCTCCTTCACACTCTTCTGCAGAGACCACAGGATCGTGAGCACCCGAAGCCACCCCCGCCCAACCCAGTGCCACCAGTCCCTGGGTCCCCAGGAGCTAAGCAGGGCCCAGAGCAGCAATGGGACATTCTGGGGATGCTAGGACGCTAGCATTCCCAGACACTCTGCTGGATGTAGCGGAGTAAATGATGCTTGCTGTACCCTGGGCATTGAGCACTTGTGAGATGGGAGGATGCTGCTGGGCACGGCAGTGCTGCCAGTTGGAGGTCCCCACCAGCACAGCGCCACCGCTGCTGGTTGCTTCCTCCCCATCCCCAGAGCAGCATCTGGGGGATTCTCTACCTTCCCCAGAAGCCAAGTGCAGAGCTGCAGCTGGGACTGCCGCCTCTCGTGGGACACCACTGCCCCCGAGCAGACCGGACAGCACCTGTCTTGGAGGTGCTGTTACCCCAGCACTGGGCAGGGAGCAGACAGCCGGGGTACGGCCAGCCCGGCCCAGCCCAGCCCAGCCCAGCCCGGCCCGGCCCCGCAGGGGACAAGGCAGGGCCGAGGGCAGCCCCGGCAGGCAGCGCACCCCCTGCGAGCAGCCCGGCCATCGGCCTCTGCCTTCCCCATCTGCGGCACGGGCCGGGGTCTCCCCTCCCCTCCCCTCCCCTCGGGGTGTTCACAAGGCTCAGCTATGAGTGTGCGGCGAGTGCCGGTGCCGAGCGGGTGGCAGAGATGCTCTGGCAGCGCCTTGTCTTTGTATCGCCTCGGAACGCCCCCGGCAGCTCCGTTCGCTGCTCCTCCGCAATCAGCCACAGCGGCTGTGCTGGAGCCAAGGCGCGTTAAAGGGAAACCAGCAGTGGGCACAGAGGGCATCGTGAGAGAACAGTGGTCCTGGCCCTCTGCACGCTTGTGCCTGGCTGCGTGCTGCGAGAGGCAGCCCCCAGGCACCCACCAGCCTGCAAGCACACCTTGGCCTCAGCACTGACCCACTGACCCAAAGCTCTAATGTGATGGCCAAAGCATCAGGAGTAGCAGGAGCCTTCAAGGTCACGAAAGAGCCAAACCCCACCTGGGGTTCTTCTCAAGCCCTGACTCCCCCAGGTGCCCAGCTCCCCTGCAGACCCCCCAGGGCATGCACCAGGATGCCCTCAGCTCCCTTCCAGCCTGCAGCCCCAGTTTCTGAGAGGGACATTTTAATCCTTTATCACACTTTGTCCCCCAGGACTGGTGCAGGGCTTGACTGGTGCCCACGCTGCCTGCCAGTGCTGGTACAGCACTGCTGTGCCCAGGTACAGGTTCAAACAGCCCTGCTGTTCCCTGTGCCAGCACACCCCAGCGACCCAATGCATCGCCTTCCCAGCCCCTTGGCTGTGAGAGCATATGGAGATGGTGAGCCCAGAGTGGCCCTGAGCACAGGCTGCAACACAGCCAGCAAGGGGAACACAGCTTTGCACGGGGTCCACCTGTGACCCCCAAATCCACATACAACCCATGCACCCCAGCATGCCCTGCCACATGTCGAGAGGAGACAGGGCAGGGTCCAGCCACAAATACCACTTCTACCGCTGCTGTTTGCCATGCAGTGGATACAGGCACAGGCTCTGGGTTTGCTACAGTCATTGCTTTTGCTGCTGCAAAGGACAGGCAGCATGTGACAGCAAGAAGAGGCACTAGAGAGCCCATGATGATGAGGAGCAGCAGGGCATGGGAACTCAGCTTTAGCTGGGGCCAAGGCCGCACGGGTGGCAGGATGGAGCCAGGAACGCTGCCTGGGGACACAGCATCACCTCCTGTGAGGGGCCGGAGCTGAAATGCTCCCAGCAGTGCTGCTACTGCAATTCCTTCTGGCAGCCAGCACAGCAAAAACCTCTCCCAGGCCCAGGAAGTCACAGTGCTAGCCATTCCCAGGACAGGGGTATGGCTGCCAGCACTGCAGCAGCCCCAGGATAGTGCAGAGCCCGAAAGGCAGAGTCCCACCACCTCCACCAGGACACCCGTTGGAGTTTTATGACGCCCGCAGTGGTGTGGCTATGGGGGGGATGTGCCTCAGTTTCCCCCAGTGCAGACTAACTAACCACCAGCATCCTGCTATGGGGTGGCAAACCTGTGCAGAGAAGCTTGGATGGCGCCACTCCCCACATCCACCCTTGAGTGCTTCCCAACACATGCCTGGGGTGCCCCAGGCATGGCAGCAAAGCCCGAGCCCCCTTGCTCCACCGTGCAGAGCATCGCGCTGCACAGCCCCTTACACTCACGGCTGGCCGCCCACCCAGGCTCTGTTCCCCCCAGTGCTGGCTGGACCGGCACCAGTGTGGGGAACAGGAGGCAGCTCCCCTGTCCAGAGCGAGCCGGGCAGCCTGGCGGGCACTCACGCTGCCTGAGGGGCGGTCCGGGGGTCTCACTGCACCCGTGTCTCGGCTGGCAGCGCCTGTCCTGTGCCAAGGGCAGCTCCCCAGTGGCTCAGCTCTGCTGGATCCCTTCTTTTTGCACTGGCGACGGGGAGGGTGCCAAGGCCACCGTCAGAGCCGGCCGGCTGCGGGGGCAGCACTGAGCGAGCCTGGCGATGCCCTTCCTCAACCAAGAAAAGGGAGGGGAAGGCAAAGGCCAGCGCTCTGGTTAGCAACGGGTGGGACTTGACGGGGTGGCATTGCCCTGCTGTGCTGGCTGCCCCGCAGGGTCACCACACTAACACAATCCCCTATAGCAAGTGGCTATCGGGTACCCTATAGCTCCTAGGAGCAGGAGCCTTTGCACCCGTAGCATAGGGCAGAGGCTGCCTCTTCCTCCTGGAGAGCTTTGAGGCACACGAGAGCCCCCAGGCACTGTGGTGGGAGCTCTGCGCTGGGCACCACACGGCCCCGTGTTCCCCATGCCCCAGACCGAGCCCTGGCCCCTCTGCTCGCCCCAGACACAGCTTTCACAGCCAGCGAGCCCCAGCCAGCACTGCGGGGAGCCACAGCAGAGCCAGCGCTGGCTCCATCCCAGAGGCACCACACTGGTGCCCAGAGCCATGGGCAACCTGCCTGGCACCAGCTCAAGGGCAGCTCTCACAGTGGGGCTCTGCCCCAGCCCTCCCCTGCCCCATCTCGGGAACCCTCCCTGCCTGGGGCTGAGCCCTGGTTACCAGTAACCACTGGCTGCCAGTAACAGTGGGGCTCAGAGACTTAAGAGTGAGGTGGCAGAGGCAGGGATGGAAACGCCACCTCCTGCTCTACCAAAGCTGGTGGAGACCAAGTGGCACGGGGGCCTCAGCAGGTATGCAGCTGAGAGCACCCCAGGAGGGCAGCAGGTTCCCAGCACTGTGCCCCCAGGCCTGGGCTGGTCCCCAGGGGCCAACACATCATGGGCTGGTTGCTGGTTGCATGCTTGGCACCGCACCCCAGCAGGGCTCCTTCCAGGCCACAGCGCACCCCTAAGCACTGGCTCTTCCCTCGGCCCTGGGATGCTGCTTCAAACCCCAACCCCACTGTCCCAGCTCTGCAGCCACCGCTCCCGGGAAGAGCCTGTAGTGCATCCAGGTCTGGCCACAGCTGGGCCAAGAGGGTTTTCCCACTGGGATCAGCTTGGACAGCAAAGGAGCTGCTGGAGCAGAGCCAGAAGACTGTTACTCAGAATGCTGGCACATATGGCTGGTGGGTACCACGCTGGCTCCCCACCTGGACTGCAGCCCTACACCACTCCTGATGGGATCTGCTTGGCCACATGGCTGCACGCTGCCTCACCCAGGGAGGAGGAAGGGGAACCCAACACCCACCAATGCACTGACCTGCATCACATCAGCATCATCCCAGGCAGCTGCCCTGCTTCAAGCACAGCAGCCCGCCAGGCACAAGCTCATCCCTCAGCCTGCACCAGGGCCAGGGCAGCAGGGCAGAGTCGTGGGGTCACAAGCGTCTGCTGGGCACCCTGTGTGCTGGAGTCAGTTGGAAACCTTATCAGGCTTTGCAGATACAGCAGACCTCTTCCGGGGGTTCAGTGCCTGGGGGTGCTATGGCTCTGCAGGCTCAACAGCATCTGCACTTCTCAAGGATGTAACCTGCTGCCATTGCGGGACCCCAAATCCCCCTTCCCAGCGCTGGGGGGGGATCCTTGGAAGTAAATTTCAGTACCAGTCCTGACTTGCCATTCTGCGGTGCCACAGGACACGGCGCAGGCCATCACAAGGGCATGGAAGATTAACCAGGAGGAGAGGAGAGGAGCGAAGGAAGGAGCCCCCAGAAGAAGGGCGACCCCCCCCTTGCCCCTCATCCTCCAGCAGTCACACCCTTCCACTGCCTTTTAGAAACGAGCTTGTGCTTCCCTATCTACAGCCACACTGGTCACCGAGCATCCTGCCGGGGGCACCCTGCGCCTGCCTCAGCTCTGCCGCCCTGACCAGCACCAGCAGGCGAGGGCAGTGCTCACACAATGGGAAGTGTGAGCCGGGAGAGGGCAGAGCTTCTGGGGAGCCTCACAAGCAGCTGGCGGGCAGCGCTGGGGCTATCTCTGCACCCCAGGCACTGGCTTGGCAAGCTCGGATCAGGGAGATCAAGCCTGGCCCCCCCTGCAACCTCCCCATGAGCCTCGGCCCCAGGAAACCTCACTGTGCCCTGCCATATGGTCCCACTGTGTGGGGTGACCCAGTGACCAGCCAGAATCCCAACCAGTCCCTGGCAGGACACATGCCACCAGCCAGGGATCAATGCAGGGCATGGCTGGGGTGGAGATGGGCTCTGGTGCCAGCTGGCCATGGAACAGGGAGCTCTGGTGCTGGAGCTGGGGGTGCTCACCAGGAGCTGCCCAGCACTGTAGAGATGCTCAGCTCATGGGTTCTGAGTGTCTCTATGGATGGAGACTCCACAGCCTCTCTGTGAAGTGTGTGCCAGCATTTGACCAATCTCACCATAGAGTGTTCCCTTGTGTCCACATGCAATTTCCTGGTTTCATCACTGGGTACCACTGGAAACAGCCTGTTCCCTCCTTGCTGCACCCTCCCCTCCAAACACCTACCCACAGCGCTGGAGACCACTCAGCCCCAGCCTCCTTCCAGTCTGACCAGTCCCAGCTCTCCCAGTCTCTCCCCATATGAGGGGTGCTTCAGTCCCTCACCAGTGTCAAGCCAGGAGGATACACTGCCCAGGACCCATGTGCCACCCTCCCACTGCAGGAAGGCTTCCGGGCCTGGCCCCAAAGGCCCTGCTTTGCTTTCCTTGTCTTTTGGCCAGGATCTGGTCCTTGGCAGGCAGCCCTCCCCACAGATGGGCTCTGCAGCACGGCCTTACCAGGCCCCCACCCTACCAGACCCCAACACCCCGACACCCACAGGCACTGCTCGCCCCATCCCTGGAGCACCCTGAGCATGCAGGGTGTGCAGTGCCTGCAGCAGGGACCAGGAGCACTCGTGCCTCAGGGTACCAACCGCCCCACTGATCTGCCCCAGCATCTCCCCCCAGCCCCACCACGTGCTGCGATGTACCCCAGCACCGGGAACAGGGGAACACGTGCCGCCTGTGCACCCCTTGGTGCCTGAGGCCCCCGGCTCTGGTGCAGGCACCCTGAGAGCAGATGCTCACGGCAGCTCCCCGCAGCCAGAGCCGAGCAGAGCCTCCGGGCTGCTCCTGCCTCCGCTCAGCCTGTGCCGAGGAAGCATCGGGAGCCTCGCCTGGCCCACGCGGGCAGGATGTGCCCCCCACCCATGTGCTGCACCCGGAGCACTGCATCCTCCTTCCCATTGCCTCTGCCCTCCATGCCCAGCCCCAGGAGGACCAGCGCTGGGCCACGGCACAGCCCCCGTTCTGCCCCTATGCTCCCAAATCCTGGCGCAGGCAACTGGCAGCCCCCAGCTGCGGTGAGGAGGAGGAAGAGGGGGAGACAGCAGGACCCCATCCGTCTTGGGGCCATTCAGGCCGGTGGGGGCACCTGCGCCTGGCAGCTATCATTGTCACTGAGCACAATGGCCTCCCGCCTCCGCTGAGCCAGCACAAAGCACCCCGTGGAGCCCGAAAATTGCAGCCTGGAGAAAGCCAAGCTGGGGGTGTGGAGCAGGGAGACATGATTGATGGGGAGGCTTGAGAAGGGGATGGGCGAACAGGCAGCTGTGGGAAGGGGGCCACGGGGAATGAGGGATTCAGCAGGTACCAAAATGATCCTCACCCGCTCCTGTCCCCATGGGGCTGGGCAGGACCCCAGCATGGGGGAAGCTGCTTGCTCTCATCAGCAGTCAGTGCGGGTGGGCAGTGGGATGAGGACCCCTACCCTTCCCACCCCCCTCTCATGGCAGCACCCCAACCACCACCACTGGTCAAAAATAGGCCAGCCTGCCACTCTGTGCTCTTTCCCCCCAGCCGGTAGCTGGTTATCTCTCAGCAGCTGCAGCCCTGGCACTAGACTCCCCCTCATTAACTGTGTGCTAATTAGGTACCTGCCCCAGTCTCTGGGGTGCAAGCAATGGTGTCCCCCCACTCCCAGCCCTGTGTGAGTGCACAGGGGTATGGGAGCAGCTCAGAACGGTGCTTGCCACAGCACGCGTGCTGCCCATTGCTCCAGCGGCAGCAGTGGCCACAGCCAGAGGGACAGGCAGCATGTGTGACATGGCACAGCATGAGCCAAGGACATCCCAACCCAGGTGGCAGCAGCAATTGCATCCCAAGATTCCCATCTCCATGGGGAAAGAAGGAGCCCAGCCAGCAAGGAGCCAGGCTGGCAAGCCTGCCCATCCGGACCAAGGCAAAGCGACCTGCAGGGAAAACCCTGACACTGAAAACACTTAGATCAGGGTGGGGGGGACAGCACATGCAGAGCTTGCTTTCAGCCCTGCCCAGTTCTCACTCCTCTCTTTTCTCTCCCAGCTCCATGGCCATTAACCCAGATGAGTCCTCCTTGCCTGCCCATCCATCACACTGCCGGCCTTCCCAGCATGCTGGCGGCATCACCTCCAGCATGGTTAATGGCCAGCAGCAGACAGGATTTGGGCAGCAGTGGGCAGGGAGCCACCAGCTCAGCCTGCCTCCACTTGCACCCTGCCAGCCAGTGGGGCTGGACCTACCAGTGCCATAGAGGGGCTGGGGGCTCAGGACACGCTTGTGTCCCTGTCCTGCTGCCGCACAGTCTGGCCATCCACCCTTTTCTCTTGGGTTTCCTGGCATCAATGGCTCCCTGCAGCATCCCCTGTGCTCCGCAGCACAGCAAATCCCTCTGGCATGGCAAATGCTGGGTGGCAAACTCCAGTGGCTGCTGCTGCCCATCCAGGAGTGTGCTGAGAGCTCACACGCGGCCCCGAGCATTCCCAGGACCCTGCCCACCGGCCCCACTTCCCGCTGTGTCCCTCACACGACACAGTCCATGGCACCCACCTGGCAGCCAGGGCAGAGCTCACAGAGGGGGTGCCAGCCTGCTCCAAAAGAAGGGGAAACTGAGGCACGTTCCTTGAGCAGCTGGAGGGACTCATCAAGAGACCCCCATCAGTGGGTCTCTGGAAACGTCCCCTGCCAAGTGGAAAACCCCACGGTGCCGGGTTGGGAGCTTGTGACTTCCGCACTCCTGGGCAATTGCCCTTTGTCCCCCTGGTGCCAGTATCCCAGACTGGGCACAGCAGCCAGGCCTGGGCCAGCCGGCGGGGGGAGCTCGCCCCAGCTCTGAGCAGCCCCAGCCTGCCATAGACACAGCGCATCCCCCGGCCCTCCAGCCCTGCTGCCCCCTCCATGCCCGCAGCATCCAGAGCCCGAGGCTGCTCCCAGCTCTGCAGCCACATCCCCCGAGGAGCGCTCCTGGCTCCCCCCAGCCCTGGGGCGGTGCAGCCACCAAAACCCCACCGGGGGGTGGCTGGGGACGCAGCCAGGTGTGGCGGCTCTGCCATGCTCCCAGGGCAAGAGTCCGCTCTTGCAGTGCGGGACCCCCTGTACTGCAGGCACCACCTTGACTCACACCGCAGCCTCCCCGCCGGGGGGCGATGCAAAGCGACCGCTTGCCCAGAGCATCCTCCCATGCTGTGCCTTCATTCCCCCTCCCCAAAAAGCCCCCCCTCAAACCTCCTCCTCTGCACGGTTCCCGCCCGGTCGTTCAGCCCAGGTTATCTCCCCCTGCACTGCAGGCAGTAGGTGCCTATCCATTTCACTGTCCCCACTGGGAACACCTACAGCCACCCACTCCCATTTGTCCAGCAGGCGCTGCACCCCATATTTTTGGAGGGCCTATGAAAATAGGTTCATCTGAGCAACCTACATACACACAACACAAGCTGCCCTCACGCCAACAGCCAGGAGGCAAAAGTGTGCTATGTCTGACCTCGGAGGTGTCCCCATCCACCCAGCAAACCACCACAGGGGACCAGATCTAGGGGAGGCTGCGTGGTTGGGGCCCACAGGGGAGCTGGCACAGCCGAATTAATCTGGGGCACTGGGGAAGATGCCGGCTCCATTCTGCCACCCACCAGGCCCTGCACACGTGGTGCGTGCAGCGGGGTGTACCACCCCAGGAGCATCGTGACAGCCTGAAGCCTCGCCCCCAGGCATCCATGGGCCAGAACCTTCCTGAGAAAGTCCTTTCCCCACGGCAGGTGGGGGGAAACCAGAGAATGTAAACATGGGATGGAAGCAACTTTTGGGGGGGGGCGGGGGGGGGCAGTCCAGGTATGGGAGACCCTGTCCCCAAACAGTGATGCAAAATCTGTGCTCCACAGCCCCAGGGGACCAATGCTGACCCTGCAACCATGGGGTTTGCACCTTTCCCATTTGCCCTTCCCTGGGTACAGGGAGCCAGACCCCTCCCGGCACTGCCCTGGGCACTGGATGGGGGTGGGCTGCAAGCAGCAAGTGCCTGGAAATGGTTTACACCCCAGGGCAGGCAAAACACACACACACACACACACACACACACACACACACACAGGCATCCCCGATCTCAGCAGGGACCCCTGTGCCAGCCAGCCCCTTGCCCCTGACCTTGCTCCTCATCTGCCCCGAGGTGGACACCTTCCGGATGAGCTTGTGGGAACTGTCCTCCTGCTCGCCCTCGCTGTCAGACGACTCCTCGCCGCCTGCTTCGGGTGAGATGGGCGCCAGCTTGTCCGAGTCCAGGGATGACACCGATTCCCGGGTCTTCCTCAGGAACAGGTCCCCAGGCACCAGCTTCTCAGCCATCCTCCCACCCAGCTTGGCTCTTGGCTCCACTGGCTCCTGACACAGCCCTGGGAGGACAAGGACACACGGATATGGAGGAAAAGCCCTGAAAGAGGGTGCACAGCACCTCGCCCTCTATGGCTTGGCCAAATGGGAGGTACAATCCTCAAAATCATGGTAGAAGGCACCTCCTAGCATAGGAACGCCACTCGGTGGCTTCCTTGCAGCAAAGTTTTCCTTTGTCGCCTTTTTTTCAGCGTCCCAAGTCTCCCTTACCCTGCCCGGCATGCCAACACCGCTCCTTTCTCCACCGTGGGAGACTGTGGCCACCCTATGCCCTGCCATTGGGGTGCACCACCCTTGCCGCAGCCTGCAACAGCACCCCATCTGGTGCCCTTCCCGGGCCGCTGCACTGCCCTCAGCGGCCAGGGGAGATCGGGAGAGGCGGGGTGGGGAGGGCCATGAGAAGCAGCATCTGCCTCCTGCCATCCACTCACTCCAGCAGCCGGGACCGGCTGGGAGCATCTCCCGGCCCCACGCCGGGGGGTCACCGGTCCCAGGCAGGTGGCTGCGGGTGTGGTGGGATAGAGGGTGGGGGCGCGGGGCTCCCCGCATGCAGGGGAAGCCATTACCCCACTGTAACCCCTCCCGCCACGGGGGCTGCGGCCGGGCTGCTGGAGGCACCTACCTGGGCGAGTGAGCCTGGCCAGTGCCGTGCTGGCCAGGGGACACCCCACGGCGCCGTGCCCGGCCCCATGCGGCCCCAGCTCCGCACTCCCCCCGCCCCCGCCCCGCGGCTGCCGGCAAACGTGTTGCCGTGTCCCCGCGCAGCAACAAGCTTCCCGGGGGTGGGAGGCGAGGGCACCGCATCGCTGCCGCCCCCCCGACCCCGGGCATACCCGCCTCGATGTGGGCCTCGGCCCCCCCTTCCCCCTCCCCCCCGCAACCTCGGGGCTGCCCGGTGCCGCGTCTCCGCCGAGCATCCCGCAGCACACCCGGGAGGGGGGAGGCGGAGCGCACCCCGCGCCCCTCCCGCGCACACACCTTGCGCACCCCGCGCCGCCGCCGCTCGTGCAAGGTCGCTGCTGCTCCGGCTCCCGCCCGCAGCCCCCCTGGCCCCGCGGGATGCGCCTCTGCGGGCGGCCCCGGCCCTGCCCCTGCGCCACAAGCCCCGGCCTGCTCCGGTGCGCGCGGCGGCGCGGGCGGCCCACGCACGGCCCCGAGAACGCGGGCGGGCACCCGCACCGCCGCGCGCACATACGTGTGCAGCGCCCACGCGGGCACGGGGATGGCAGAGCATAGGCACTGCCGCGCGCACATGCGTGTGCACACGCCCGCGCACAGTCGGGACTGCGCGGCCCGGGCCGGGGTGAGCCCATGCACACACGTGTGAACGGCCAGGCGTGAGCCCGCGCTCACACGGGCACGGGCAGACACATGCGTGATCACTGTGAGCACCCACACAAGCATGGGCACGGGTGAGCACACACACGGCTGCTGTGCCCACATGTGTGAATATGGCACACTGACACCAGCATGCACACCCCCGCTGTGGGAAAGCACATGCACCCGCACTGGCAAGGGCAAGCACATGGGTGGCACGCACGCTGTGGCCATGCACATACATGTGTACACACTCATGCATGCATTGGCACGCACAGCTCAGGCATGGGTGAGGAAATGTGCTGCTGTGCACATACATGTGCCGACATGCACGCAGACACACACTTGCATGTGTACAGGCATGAGTGAGTGCACACACTGCTGCCATGCACACATATGTGCACATGCCCACACATGCACAGGCACGCACACCCCAGTCAAGGAGTACTACCTCCATGCAATTATACGTGCATATGATCACACATGCACAGGCATGCACAGGCATGAATGAGCACACAGACCGGCACCTCCACGCACTTGTACACAACATATACGAGCCCAGAATCCTCTTCATGTCCTGGGCTGCATCCCCAGAGCATGAACAGCAGCTCAGGGAGGAGATCCTGCCCCTCTGCTGCTCTCTGGGGAGACTCCCCCTGCAGTCCTGATCCAGCTCTGGGGCAACAGCACAAGAGGGGCGTGGGGCTGTTGGAGCGAGTCCCGAGGAGGTCACGGAGATGCTGCGAGGGCTGGAGCAGCTCTGCTCTGGAGCCAGGCTGAGAGAGCTGGGCTGGGGCAGCCTGGAGAAGAGAAGGCTCCTGAAGGGGAGACCTTAGAGCAGCTCCAGTGCCTAAAGGGGCTGCAGGGAAACCTGGAGAGGGGCTTGGGACAAGGGCCTGTAGGGACAGGCCATGGGGAATGGCTTGAACCTGCCGGAGGGGAGACTGAGCTGAGCTCTTAGGCAGAAGCTCTTCCCTGTGAGGGTGCTGAGGCGCTGGCACAGGGTGCCCAGAGAAGCTGTGGCTGCCCCATCCCTGGCAGTGCTCAAGGCCAGGTTGGACACGGGCTTGGAGCAAGCTGCTCCAGTGGGAGGTGGGGTTGGGACCAGACGCTCCCCGAAGGCCCTGGCCTGCCTGGGCACATGCACGTGCGGTCACCCCGGGCGCGGGCTCCCGCGCCAACACCTGTTCCCGCGCACTCCGACGCCCGCGCGCCCGCGCGCGCCCACACGCACCTGCGCTCCCACGTGTGTGCCGGCGCGCTCGCGCGCTGCTGCCACCCAGCGGCCAGCTCTGACCCTGCACCGCTGGCCCCTGTCCCTCCCCCAGCCCCCTCCGCCCCTCCTCGGGCCACCTCCGAAGCTCCAGCGCTGGGAGGGCTCTCACTCGAGCGCCGTGAGCCCTCTCCGTGCCGCTGGGGGCCCCAGCACTGAGCCGTACCCCGACACCCTGCTAGCACCCACCGGGTGCACAGGACCCGCCTGCCCCGGCACCTGCGGTGCCACGGGGATGTCCGGGTCCCCAGTGCTCGATGGGGCTCGGCTCACCCTGCCCGGCGGCACCGGCAGCTGGGGTGCCACTGACTGGAGACACAGCCACAAACCAGGCGGGACACGCGGCACTTGTGCAGCTGCGGCTGCGCCTTTACTCCGAGGCACGACGGAAGGCGGCAGGGACCCGACAGCGGTACCACCCCGGTGCAGTGACCTGCGGAGAGCCCCCGCGCCCCCCGAGGGCAGCACAGCCCCAGAGCGTGTGCTTTGGTCCTAGCATTATCCCTGGGCAGGCAAAGGGGTGAGGGGCGCTGCGATGGGGACCCCCCACCTACGTGCAGAGCGCAGTGTTCGACGGGTGGGGGTGATGTGGAGGGCTGCTGCAGCACAGAGCAGACACACACGGGCACTGCCTGCACCCTGGGGCTGGGCTGCCCAGTTGTGGCCACCCCGAAAGGGGTTGAGGGCCACCCTGCATCTCCTAAATGCTTCCTTCCCCCTCCCCCACCCCAAGCTGCTGCTGGTTGCATGAAACCCCTGTGCAAAATTAGCATCAAGGCATCTTCCAATCCCATGGGGACATTCAGGCAGTAGCAGGGCAGGGGGTGACTCAGGGTGAGGTCCAAGCGCTCCCTGCACTTGCTGCAGCACAGGACAGGGGGTGACTCAGGGTGAGGTCCAAGCGCTCCCTGCACTTGCTGCAGCCCAGAGCAGGGGGACAGGCCCCCCCCTTCGTCATCAGTGTGTTTTTTCCTCTATTAATTCCTGCTGGTGCAGGGCAGAGGCTGGAGGCAAGGGCTGGGTGATGCCGGGTAGTCACTGCGCCCACAGCACTGGTCGCAGCGGATACCTGCAGCACCTGGCATCCCATCCCCTGGCAGGACACCATTCCAGGGGCACCCACCACGGTGTCCCCGGGGTGAGGTGTGCACCACACCCACCAGCACCAGCCTTGGCCACCTGCAGTGCCTCAGGCCGGTGGGGATCGGGTTAAGGACCTGCTGGCCAAGGCCATTGTTTTGGACACAATGGAGAGGAAGAAGGATGCTGGGGGGGCCAAAATTCCTCCAGCTCCCACCGGACAGATGGACAGAGCTGGACAAACAGACATGATGGAGGAAGAGTGAGGATGGTTTAACCCTTCCAGGCACTGCATGGCTATGCTCGGGGCACCCTGTGGGGATGTTTAAGGCACGTGGTGCAGCATCAGCCACGGGACAAGCACTGGTGTCCAGGACAAGGTGGAGGGAGCCCTGTGAACACACGGTAGACGGGGGAGCAGAAGGATCTGTCCATTTGGTCCTGCTGGGACACAGGTTGCTGGGTGGCCACAGAACCCAGAGCAGCTCAGTGGCACACACCCCCCCCCGCCAGTGCCTGAGCTGGCACCAGCTCCCCTGCTTTGTAAACTGGATAAATAAATAACAGACAGGGGCTGGACAGATGGACGGGTGCAGGGAGAGCCCCTGCAAGGCCAGATCCACTTTGGCAGCAAGCTGGGACCAGTGCCTGGGGGGGAGGCTGGACAGGGGGCTAGCAGTCCTTGGGGCCCTGCTTGAGGCTCTCACGCAAGCACCGGAGCTGCTCCTGACCCAGCTTGATCTTCTCCTCCAGCTCCCGCTGCTCAGCAATGAGGGCCGACTTCATCTTGACAAAGTGCTGGTAGTCCTGGAGGTGCTCGGCGGGCAAGTACCGTGCCACCATGGCACCCACCACCTCCTCCCGCCGCCCCACGTGCTCCTTCAGCTCCTTGGCATCCTCCAGCTGTGCCACCAGCAGCTGCTGCTTCTCCCGCAAGGCCACCTGTGGGCAAACAGGTACTGTTGGTGGGGTCCCTTGGCCTCGTGCCCCACAGTCACCCCCCTGCCCTGTGCCCACCTTGTCCTCAGCAGAGGCATGCGGCCCCAGGCTGCCCAGGGCACTCTCCACCCGGGCCAGGCGCCCGGAGAGGGACAGCAGGAGGTTGACCACCTTGTCCAGGTCACCCACAAAGAGGCGGTACTTGTCAAACTCCCCCGGGGTGCAGAGGGCCTGCAAGCGCGCAGCCACGTCCTCGCCCAGTGCCCCATTGGCGCTGATGTCCTCCTGCAGCCCCCGTTGCGCCTCCTGCAGCACCGCCAGCTTGCGACTCAGGCTCTCAATCAGCTGCAGCTGCCGGAGGGAGGGAAGGAAGGAGTCAGGGGTGATGGAGGACACCCCCGTTGAGACTGGGGGACTGGCACATGGGTGCAAGGGTGCCATCCACACTGGGCCCCACAGACCGCAAGCATCTGGTGATGCCCCTGGTTCCCATGAGCATCTCCTGACACTCCCAGGCCCCACAAGCACCCAACGCCACCACAGGTCCTCGCAAACACCCATCAACATCCCAGCCCCTGTGAGCATGCAGCAATGGCCCAAATACCCACAAGCATCCAGCAATGCCCACGGCTCCAACAAGCAACCAATGATGCCCCGGTCCCTGCAAGTATCTGGCAACAGCAGTGGAAAACCCTGAGGACATCGTTCCCAGCAGCACCCGCTTTACCTTCTTTTCCACCAGCTCATGGTCTGCCTCCTCCTCCTCCTCAGAGCTCCCCTCCACCACCTCTGGCAGCTCCTTCACCTTGCCAAGTGGCTCGGCTTTACCCCCTCCTGCACTGTAATACGCTGGGTAGCAGGCGGAGCTGGCGGCGCTCACAGGGGGTGGTGAGATGGGCTCGAAGCCCTGCCTGTGGGGACAGGGGCTCAGCGCTGGGGACGGTGGGGTGCAGCCCATCCTCAGCACAATGCCGCGCCATCCCTACCTGTCCTGCGCCAGGGTCTCCATGTGCCAGTCCTGCTGGAAACACTCCTGCCAGGCCTGCCGCTGCCCCGTCACCAGCACATCACCCACCACCTTGGTGGCTGTGCCAGGAGGGGCCGAGGGGGCCAGGATGCCAGCCAGAGAGCGGTCCCTGCCTGCCACATCCCACAGCAACTCCTCCGAGTCCACACGGCGGGGCTGGGGCTGGTTCCCCTGGCAGCCCACCCCCTCTGCCACTCCAGGGCTGGACTTAGGAGCCTTGGGGGCGGTAGGGCTGGAGTCACCATGCAGGGGCAGGGAGCGCTCACCCACCCTGCGGGGGCTGACCCAGTCCAGCTCCTGATTCCGGCCGAGCCTCTGGGGCTGCTCCTCCATCTCCCAGGGGTGCTTTGCCTTCAGCCGCTCCTCCCCGGCCCCTGCCGCCCTGCCAACATCCCACACGGGAGCACCCACATCAGCTCCCCTGCCCACCCATGGGCCAAGGGGACAGGCAGGACTGCTCCCACTCCAGGAAAAGAGGTCAGGAACACCCCGTACCCCAAGAAAATCCCACAACCTGGCCCAAGGGGTGGATTAGGATGGTTTGACACAGGGTTCAAACGGCCCCATGGCCCCAGAAGCACCCCCCGTGCCCAGGCTGAACCTGCAGCCCCGCTCCCACTGCTGCGCCACG